GAGTATTGATATTGCCAGAGAGAGTATCGATATTGCCTCTAATATTTAACTGAAGTTTTTAATTTTTTCAATCCCACTTTTTATCTTTATAATTAAGGTCTCTAATTTTTTTTCTCTCTAACTTCTACCTTTATAATTGAAACCCTAATTTTTTCAATCCAATTTTTTACTTTTATAATATAAGCATATAATTTAATCATTTTCTAAGATTTATTATTATAATATTAAATTAATTGTTCAAAATAACGTAATATACTTTCATTTTATAAGAGACTATTATTTAATTTCACTTAAGGTCCCAAAAATATCCGAGACGATTTTCCTTCTATATATTGTTTAAACCTAGATTTATGGAATGTGTTAGAACTCAAAGTATGGAATAATGCCTTCATGTAAACTCCACTCTTTATGTCCTTCACTATCATCTTATATTCGTTCGAAATTATTTTCTTTTCAAATAATTATTTATACTGATAACAAAATAAGAATTTAGCACATTTACCCCTGTATGTGGAATGCCTCATACTGGTGTGGCTGCTTTGATATTTTTCTAATATGAATGTTGTAAAAACTGTGATATTTTAAATTCTCGCATAATTTAGATATTTTTATTGATAGTTTATTTTTGTCTTTTTAAAATTTTATAAGCTCGTCCTTATTATAAAATCTTATTCCTGTCCACAATTTTTACGATGTTGTGAAAAAGTGTAATAGAATACAAATTGAGTAAGTTCGTCTTCAAGTTTATTTAATTTGTATGTTAAAGAATTATTTCGAAACAGGTTAAGTTGCCTTGATTTTTACTACAAAGAGAGATCCTTGGAGGATCAAAAGCATTTGTTGTACCTTTTCTTGACTTTCTCCGCGAGTTGTATTTCTGTTCTCACTTTTCCACTTATCGAAGTTTCCACAAGTCATACTGATTAAATTCTTCAAAGATCCAAATCTTACGACCAATCACTTTCCTTTGATAAGACCTCTGAGAGAGTCATGTTTTATGTTAAAGTCAAATCTACCATCAGCCAACCATATTCATTCGTCATATCAACTTACGAGCAACTATCATGAGTCATACGCCTGACACTAGTACTAAAGGTCACTAGAAAACCTTTTCTATAAGATTGGGAGAAATTTTTTATTCTCTTCCTCAATTCTCTGCTGAAGAGAGGATATCGTCTATATCTTAAAACCAAATCTAAGAAAGAGGATGAGAAAATAGGTCATCTAATAGTATCAAATCTTGAGAACTTGGGACCCTAAGAGGCTATGATGAAGATCTTATACAAGAAATTGATTCTTGTAATAATATTGATTATCCTGGACATGATAATAGTAATTATGGTATTTTTTGTTAAGTTAAGATGATTACAAAGTAGTATTTGTTCTAAATACTCTTAACCTGTAATGCCCCGAAACCCAGGTCAGTAGTTTGAGTCAACCTGAAACCCATAAGCCAAGCCAGTTAGACCTCTTAAGATAGTTGGACTAATTCAAAAAAGGGTATTGGGCTTAGGTTGGCCTAATAGTTGAAGGATAGTGGTGTTTTTAAAGCGAGTTAAAGGGAGAATGACTAAAAGTGTAGTTTACTCATAGCTTGTTTAAAGGTTAAAAAGCTTTTATCTCCCTTTATTTTTCACGTAAGTCATTCCCCAAAAATATCTTCCCATTTTCTTATTCTTCAGACTCTTTTTCTTTATTTCTTGTACTTAGCTAAGATCAAGGTTTAAGGAATTTCAAGCTTGGTTTAAATCCACCTTGGTAAGAGTCTTATTCTCCTTCTCTCAAGCTTCATTTCAAGCTCTTAATCTTAGGTTTTGGTTAAGATTTATGTAATGTGTTTTTTTTATTGAATTTAAGGAATCAAGTGATTCAAGCCATTTTAAGAAAGGATTTGAGTTATAAGGAATGTATTTAAGTATTATCCAGCCTCTAGTTGAGTAAATAACTCATTTTTATACCTTGTTAGTAAAAGAGGTTGAAGAGAGTTCAAAAGCCAAGGGTAAAACAAAAGTGAATTCCTAGTTGTTGAGAGAGGTTTTAACATCTAAAGAATTCAGGTAACACACTATTAGATTTTTCATACCAGTTGTAGAATCATTAGAAATGACTTTTAGCAAGAAAGTTGAGATAAAGCATGTTTAGTAGCTTTCCATGGTAGATTTTATGTTTAATGTTTTTAGCTTATTTCTAAGCCTTATTTATGCCCCTTAATAACACATAAGACTTTAAGAATGTTTGGGGATCTCACTAAGGTATTTGGGATTTAAAAATAGAGTTTTTCATGCTTGTTTTATGATTTTTGCAGGTAGAGTATCGATACTATAGGGTTAGTATCGATACTTGTTATTCGTTTCTGGATAAAATCATGTTTTCTTAGTAGGAGTATCAAAACTCTTAAGTTTCAAAACTCCCAGAAAGTATCGAAACTAGGCATAATAGAATGTTTAAAAGTATCCGTACTTATATAAGGTATCGAAACTTTTACAGAAGTATCAATACTCTTGGGTTAGTATCGATACTTTTAGTCTGTTTTGGGCAAAAATGTCAATTTTTTAAGGATTTAGACACGAGGTACCCCAACACTTCATTATATCATCAAATAAGACTACAAGTGGAATAATATTAATGTTAATTCAAACTTAGAAATCAAACAATTAGGGATAAATAATACTAGCATTGTTTGATGGTCGGTAAACGATTCGGACACCTGAGTTCCTTTAGAAAAGCTAGTGTAGTCAAAAGTATAGATGCAGTTCGGATATATCCTTAGGTAGGGCGCAAGACCCTTAAAACCAGCTAACTAAGGTCGAGGTCTGACACTCGCAAGGGGTGGGTTAGTTAGGGATATGGTGTCCGATGTAGAATTCAGGGATAAGGCGTGACCAAGGTGCAGTAATCCCTTAGTCGCACCATGATGTCTACAGTAGCATAAAGAGTGAGTATCGCAAGGATATTCACTAAGTATATTAGATCAGTAGACTTGATAGCTAGCCTTTCAGTGATATGCAGTTAGTGTGTTTTAGCTATTAGTGTGTCACTGAGCTAGTTAGCTCAGCCTTCGAAATGTTTTCGTGGGTAAGTCAGTAGATCCAACAGGTGAGGAGCAGTAGATAAATCAAAACCCAGTTCAGACCAGTGCAAATTTAGAGTACGTCTCAGCATTTTTGAAGAGTATGTATATTTGTAAACTTTATTGTCCAGTTGAGTCGAAGTTTCAGTAGAGCGGTTTGTATTATTTTTGTAAAGAGTAAATATTTTAATTTGGAACTCCTCAGTGTAAAGATTTTATTTATTTTTCAGTTTATTTTATAGTTCTTTTATATTTAAAGAAAGTAAGAAAAAGTTAGTCAGCCACTTCAGTGGTTCCATGTAGCACCTTAAATCGGTCGGTTGTGTCTCATTTTGGTCTAAGGTGTTACACTTCCATTTGAAAATGAATGCTCAATCACCTTGCTACAGTCGCTGGTGCTCGATCTCGTAACCTCTGGAAACAACAACGATTTCCTTCAACCATTGAGATAAGATGGTTTGTGCCAGTAATTAAGATATTAACGGTGAAGATAATAGTAATTATGATATTGACTATGAAAATTAAAGATGATCTTACAGATGAAATATAGACATTGGTAGTATAGTATAATGTAGTCTAATAATAAAAGTATGATACTAAGGAGATGTCATGATTACATCATTCTTGGCAATTTTAATTTCACTATGTTTGTCATTAAAAGGAGGTGTTGATCAAGCTTTATACGAATTCTGAGTAAAATTGCATACTATTTTTTTTATACAATAATGAATAAATTACTTCAAAAGAAAAACTTAGGAGATTCATTAATAAAATCATTGTAAAAAAATATTACTCCTATTCAACAAGCTTGATCCAATCAAACACCAAAAGATAGATTATTAATGAAACTGGGATGTTGTATTTGATTTTTTTGTACATAAAAATTTAGTTCATGGTTGATCAGGGCATACCTAAGATTCAATTTGGATTTATATAAGAATTTACATCTTACCCATAAAAAAGTAATGGTAGTAAGATTCAAATTTGACCTTATAAATTAAAATTATTAAATCTCAATCATTTAAACCAACACTCGTTGACATGATGTTATATTTGATAAATTAAAGATTATGTTCCTAATCATATGATAAATTACTTTATCCAAAATGTAAGATGTCAGTTAATTAGGAGATGTCCTTAAGAAGCATAGTGTTATAGTGGGATATCAAATTATTTCCTATCCCGCTCCTCATACTCCACTAAAAATGGTCTGCCGCTATTGGCCGGTTAATTTCATCCTCAATTAAGATTTGAAAAAATAATATAAAATAATGGGTTTTTATTTTAAAATATTGACTAAGTTTGATTTAATACAAAAAAAATATTGTATTAAGGTGACTAAAAATAGATTTAATTTTAATTTTTTTTATTTTTTATTTTTTATTTTTTATTAAAATATTGACTAAGTTTGATTTAATTTGTAATTTTATAATTCGGATTCGATTTAAAAAAATTCGAGACAAAGTATAAAATAAAACTCAAATAATTTAAAATTTTTCATAATCACTGTTTTGATTTTCAAGTTTAAGTCGAGTCTTTCAACTCTACATGATATATTTATATCATATATGAAAAAATATGAAAAATATATATGTATATTGTACATGGTTATAGAAAACCGTGTAAATTAAAATCAATAGTATCATAATATCATAAATATTCTCAATTAAATTTAAATATAAACTTGAATAACTCGATTGAATTCGAACAAAAATCCAAATAGAATTTAAATTATAAAATATGATTTATCGGTCAAATAACTTAGATTTTTTTATCCGGACTTGATCAAATTGTCGACCTTAATTCCTTACAGATGGATATCATTTAAATAGTGCGTTGGGACCGGTAATCATGATTTCACGATATGGGATTGAATGGATAAGTCCACAATGCATAAACATTTTATATATAATGGGGCACTTCCTCACTTCCAGTACTAAGCCTCACCTCTTTAGACTTCGATTCTATTCAACTTCAATGGCGACCCACAGTAACATCATGTTCTCAGTCCACAGAAACGATGTCGTGTTTGTTAAACCCTTCAAACCAACACCTTCACAGGTTCTGTCTCTCTCCACCATCGACAATGATCCCAACCTTGAGATCATGTGCCATACTGTTTTCGTGTATCAAGCCAATGGCTATTTCGATATTAAACCCAAGGATCCAGCTTCCATAATCCAGGAATCACTCTCCAAGCTCTTGGTTTATTACTACCCCTTGGCGGGGAAGATGAAGAGAGAGATCGATGGAAGACTTCGAATCGCTTGCAATGCCGACAACGACGATAGCGTGCCTTTCTTAGTAGCCGCCGCCGATTGCAAGCTCTCCTCGTTGAATCACTTGGATGGCATTGATGTTCAAGCCGGAAAAGAATTCGCCTTGGATTTTGCACCGGAATCTGACGATGGATATTATCACCCTCTTGTCATGCAGGTGACGAAGTTCGTGTGTGGAGGGTTCACTGTTGCTTTGAGCTTATCGCACTCGGTTTGTGATGGCTTCGGTGCGGCTCAGTTCTTTCAAGCATTGACCGAGCTCGCTAGTGGAAAGAACGAGCCCTCGGTTAAACCCGTGTGGGAGAGGCAACTATTACTAGCAAAACCGATTGGAGAAATTCCTCCATCGATCGTCGATAAGGACTTGACGGCAGCTTCACCGTATCTTCCGACGACTGACATAGTCCATGACTGCTTTTATGTAACGGAAGAGAGCCTAAAAACACTGAAAATGAATCTGATCGAAGAAAGCAAAGACGAGAGTGTAACCAGCCTCGAAGTACTTTCAGCCTATATATGGAGATCAAGGGTTAGAGCATTGAAGTTGAATCCAGATAAAAACACAATGCTCGGCATGGCCGTAGGGATACGACGCACCGTGAAACCACTGTTGCCGGAGGGATACTACGGGAATGCTTTTACATCGGCAAATACGACCATGACCGGGAAGGATCTCGACCAAGGACCGCTCTTTAAAGCTGTGAAACGAATCAAAGAGAGCAAAAAGCTTGCTTCTGAGAATGAATATATCTGGAACTTGATGAGCATCAACGAGAAGCTGAGAGAACTGAATACGAAGTTCGAAGCGGCTGCCGGTTCGGTCATGGTGATAACGGATTGGAGGCGGTTGGGGTTGCTGGAAGATGTGGATTTTGGATGGAAAGGTAGTGTAAACATGGTACCACTGCCGTGGAACATGTTCGGGTACGTGGATTTGGTTCTTGTATTGCCTCCTTGTAAACTAGACCAGTCGATGAAAGGCGGTGCTAGAGTGTTGGTTTCACTACCCAGGGCTGCTATTGCCAAATTCAGGGAAGAAATGGATGCTCTCAAGCATGGTAACAAGGTTACCGGCGATTAATTAAACCGGTCTAGTGGTCTAGGCTTACTATATATGTGCGTGTTGTTTTTACATTTTAAGTAGATAATTAGGAGTGTAAGTGAAAGAGAACGTTTGATAATAGTTGATGAATTATTTGTAGAACGTTCATCTATGTTAGTTATTAAGTTAAATAAATAAATATGAATAAAAAATTTATATTTATTTAATAAATGAACGAATGCGAATATTAATATGTTTGTTTGAACTAAAAAAATTATTTAAAAGATCAATTATTAATTCGTTTATAGATTGTTAACTTGATTCTTCTTTAAAATGAAATTAACAATGTCGTTGAAAACTGGGTTGTTTACAGTGAGAGGAGAAACGAATGTGACCTTGAGTTTAGCAATGGCAATCCCTTGGAAAAACCTGTTTCTTGCACTGCAACAGTTGAAAATGAAGTTTCCTGGAAAATATTGACATTTATTAGTCAATAAATAATTGGTTTGGGGATGAGTGATCACCACTTCAGAAGAGCGGTCTCATCACGTAATCAATGATAATGTGAATCTTTTTTCCAAGTTGATTGAGGTTACTGATGGTAAAGGTACGGGTGCAGGCGTTTTTTTATACGTGACAGCAGCACATTGGAGAAAACTCTTGAAATCACATTGGGGTGGAGGGGAACTTTAGGATAAGTACCCACAATAGTAGGACGTCAAATCATATAATCGTTTAGATTTCAATTCGATTCTATCAGGTTAGATCGAATCGGATATAGATTGTGTAAGATTAATTTGATGGTTCAACTCGGATCAAGTCATGTCCAGTTTAAATTAGTTCAGGTCATTTTCAGGTTGAGTTGACATCAGATTTAGTTCGAGTTATATCAGATTAATTTTAGTTCAGGTCTGAAGCAGATAAATACCAAGTTAATTTAGGTTTGGATGGACTTCAGTTGAATCTTGTTCAGATCGAATCACATCTTTGATAGAAAAAAATATAGGACGGTTCTTACTAGGTACAGATTGAGTTTAGCTCCGGTCATTTTTGGGTTAATTATTTTTTGTCTTTCATGAACGACAAATTGTAATTTGCAAGTGTATATGACTTGAGTAAATTAAAAATATATAAATAATTATGGGACAATTTTAATACGAATATAATTTTAAGGATTAAATTGAATAAACATGAAATTATAAATAATAATTTAAATAAATTAAACAACACGCAAGGATGAGGGATCTGTAACATCCCAAACTACGGGTTAGTGACTAAATTATAAAATTTCAGAATTTAGTGATTAAAACGAAAAAGTTGAATAGTTTAATGACTTATTTAAAAATAATTCTTGAAAGGGTTATTAGTAATTATTAAAAGAATGAGAGGGTAAAATGGTCATTTGACTTTGAAAAAAAATGAATAATATATTTGTATAAGGGGATAAGGATGAAGAGATATTTTCTCTTCATCTTCTTCTTCTTGTTCATGTACGAGAGAAAGAGAGAGCCAAGCTTGTAAAGGTAAGTTTTATTATTAGTTGATTATTAACTGAAATTTAAGTTGGGTTTTGATCCTTAGATAATAATTAAGCTTAAGGAAAGCTTAATTTGTCTTAAAATCAAAAGATGAAGAAGTTATGAAAGATTAAAGAAAATGAGTTTTTAAGTGAAATTTTGAATAAAAAGGTTTAAATGAATTTGGAGGATGAATTTGACTTGTCATCCATGAGAATAAGAAGTTAGAAGTGTTAGAATTAAGTTTGGATAACATGGAAAATTCGGTATGATTCTTAACCTTTAGAATTTGGATGAAATATGAGAGATTATAAAGTGTTGGAATGATAGAAATTAGTTAAAGTTGTTATAGATGAGTTTAGTAGCATGATAAGGATTTTATATATGAAAATTTGGGTTAAGTGTTGATGATTTTCGGATGAAATAGCCTATTCTGGGCAGGTGCATCGATGCACTATGAGTGTGTACTGATGCACTAAGACAAATTTTGAAGGTGCATCGATACATTAAGGAGTGCATCGATGCATGAGAATTTCGAAGCTATTTTGTGTACCGATGCACCCATAGTGCATCGATACACCCCTAAAGAAAAAAAATGGAATTTTGGTTCATTAAATTAGTCTAAGTTATTAATACCAAGTTATAAGGTTTAGGCTTCTGATAATCATCTCGAAATTATGTTTATGTAGATATTGAGCCTAAACAAGTTCCGGAACAATCAAAGAATTATGATCGAATCAAAGCAAGGCTAAGGTGAGTGCAATTTAAATTGTATGCATGTTATTGAACATAAATTGGCTTGCGATGAGCCAGTGACGGAGTTACTATGGCAAGTAAGTAACTTCTAAAATGTTATATGATTATTATGTGTACATTAGTACATAGAAATGGATGTATGTTCTTATATGTTACATGCTTATGTGACAATGCAACATGTGATATAGGTTACATGATATGACATACGAGTTTACATAAACAAATGAGAAATGATATAAGCCATATGAAACGATCTACTTGAATACATGCACTTGGGATATATATGATATTGATATAAGTAATTATAGGAATATGTAATATAAGTGACTAATTAACATGAGCTATGAGACTGTATGAAAGCAAGAACATGTGACATGAAATACATGATAAGAAAATATGATACTCTGTAAGGGTATTACATGATATGAAATAAACGATTTATGAGTTATATGCATATGAGATATATGTTTACACATACGTGGTATGTGACAGAAGAGAAGAAACATGTAATTATAAGATCAATGGTTACACGTACATGTGATACGTGACTGAAAAGAAAAGATATGTGTTTATAAGAGAAAGGATATGAATAAGTAATATGAACTGTTATAAATGATAATGCCCATGTTATGTGATATGAGAGCTAGGGGTATAGTTGGCATGTTTTACAGTACTTTGATATGTTTTCTTTCATAACGTTTATCAAAATGATATTATGCATAAGTTTTAGAGTATGAACTGTTCTAAAATGAATATATGAAAGTTTACGTTGTTCAATGGTTATCGATGTTCAGAAATAATGTTTAAATTTGTGAATTTGACATCGAAGCCCATTATATGTTGATTGAGAGTTATAGGTGCATTTCGACATGCTTCGTGTATGAAAGTTATTGATTGATTTTGATTAATGCCTAACGGTGCATTTTCGTATCAGTACTAAGTGTACTTTTGGCACTAAATGTGCAATCATGGTATTCATAATGGGTTTGTGAATCACTATTTCGATATACATATGTATATAAAAGTTATCAATCGATTTTATTTAATGCATAACGATGCATTTTCGTATCATTACTGTGTGTACTTTTGGCACTATATGTGCATCCATGGAATTCGTAATAAGTTTTTTGAATTTTCATTTCAGCAATTCAGTGCAATGCATGTACCTTGTATTCTTATTTGGCACACATTAGGCAAATAAAGGATAAATTGGAAAATAATGATTAATAGGTATACTCGCCAAGGGTCGAGGGTTTACCTATGTTCTTCGAGACATATGGACTGTTTACCTATGTTCTTCGGGACATATGGACTGTTTACCTATGTTCTTCGGGACATATGGACTGATTACCTAGGTTCTTCGGAATCTATGGACTGGTCATTCGGGACATTTATACGAGCTGTGGTGACAACATAATTGTGCACAACCTCAATGTACTCACATACCTTATGTTCTCAATAATGTACATGGGCTTATAAAAGGTTATCAAAAATAATTGCATAATTATATGATGGTATATGTGCATATATGTATTCTGATATATGAAATATTTTATGGTTTTTATTATATGTTTATATGCATCACTAAGTCATAGACTTAGCGTGTGATTGTTTCACACGTAGGTTCCGAGAAGAGGAAGAATGATAAAAGCTAAGCAAGACATGTCAGTTCCTCTTTTCCAAAGATCAGATCAGAAAAGAAATATATAGTATGTATTTTGTAATAAGGAAAATGGTTGGCATGTAAATAAAGATTTGAATACGATATGCTCTAATTGGTTTTTGTAAAATTATGTGATTGAGTTTTGTAATGTTTTAAATGTGTATATGTAAATGGTAATTTTATACGGATGAAAGCTTAAGTTTTTATGAAATTATATGTATTTTACGAAAGTACTGTAGCAGTGCATCGATGCACAATTTATATTCGAAATTTTTCACTGTTCATGGTACTGTTCATAAAAACGTTTTTGCCTCAAAATTTTATAACAAACACAATTGAAAAATATATGATCGCATTTTCTTAATATAAGTTCAAATATTCTGTTATTTTGCAAGAATAAAGGTTTTGAAATGTCAATGTGACATCTCAGACTCTTATTCGGGTCAGATACGAGTTGGGGTGTTACATGATCACTTCGAAATAATTATAAAATGTTAAGTTGAAATTAATATAAAAATGTACAAAATTGAATCCATTTAAAAAGATGGTGAAAAAAGTTTAAAGGGTTTGTAGATTATGATATAATTTATAGAGTTTGAAATAAAGTTTATTATTTGATTGTTGGGTTTGAAGTAAATTATAAAAAATAAATAAGTATAGGTCAATTTCATGTACAAATATAATTTTAAAGACTAAATTAAACAAATATGAAATTACAAGTTAAGATTTAAATAAATTAAGCAACATACATGAATCAAATCGAAATAATTGTAACATGTGAAGCTGAAATTACTATAAAAATGGACTGAATTGCATTCATTTCAAAAGTTGAGGAACAGAAATTTATAAGGTTTTGGATTTTATAATATAATTTTAATGACTAAATTGATTAAAAATGAAATTACAAACTATAATTTAAATAAATTAAACAACATTCAAGGATCAAATTAGAAAAGCTATAATATATATCTGTAATAATTATAATATATATAATATATTGTAGACACCCATTTTCGACTAAGAAATATTTCAACTTGTACTTTGTTTCATTTTTTTTGTGTTTGTAAATAATAACATATATATATATATATAAATAAGGTTTTGAAAAAAGTTTTAAAAATATTATATATATAGTTAAAAAAAAGTAGTTTTAAAACATTAAATATTATATATAGTTTAAAAA